AGGGTCGTTGATGGCTGAGGTGGCGCCTCAGAGTGGAGGTGATGGGAGAACCTGTGGGTTCGGGGTCTTGGGGCGAGGAGGGGTGTCTGGAGGAGCTGTCAGGGGGTTAGGGTGGGGGTCCTCATGCTGGGGAGGCTGACAGGGGTGAGAGGAGGGTGAGGACCTAAAGCTGTGGGTGCAGTGGGTGAGGATGGACGGACAGACAGACAGATTCCCACACTGCCTGGCGCTTGGGGGAGGTTGGCGCTGGAGACCACCCTGGGATAGCAGAGGGTCGTGGTTAACCCCAAAGCAGCAGCCAAACCCCTCACAGCCACTCACTCAGTGCACACCAGTGGGATTGGGAGAGGAATCCAGGCTGGAAAACTCGTGGGGTGAGCTAAAGAGTGTTGGAAAAGGGGAGGAAGAACCACACACAGAAGGAAAGCAGAAGAAGGGGTTAATTCTTTGCTTCCCAGGGGCAGGAAGGTGTCTTGATCCCATTCCTAGGAAGGTGTTCAGGATCCCATTCCCAGGACAGGTGTCCATTCCCCCAGCTGGGCATGGAAAGAAGGACATTTCTCCCACTGGGAAGCAAAGTGACTCTCCCCCAGACCAAACCAGCACACAAGGCCACACTGGTCCAGCTCTGGGAGCTGAGGCTTCAGGCTGGAACAGCAGCTGGGAGCCAGCCCAGACCCAGCTCAGAGTCCCAGAATTATTCCAGCTGGAAAAGGCCTCCAAGAGCATCAAGTCCAACCTATGACCCATCACAACTTGTCAGCTGGAGTAGAGCACTGAGTGCCATGTCCAGTCATTCCTTGAACACCTCTAGGGATGGTGACTCCACCACCTCCCTGGACAGTTCCAATGCCTGATAACCCTTCCCCTGAAGAAATTCCTGATGTCCAGCCTGAACTTCCCCTGGTGCAGCTTGAGGCTATTCCCTCTTATCCTGTTGTTCCCTGGGAGCAGAGCCTGACCCCACCTGGCTGCACCTCCTGGCAGGGAGTTGTAGAGAATAAGAAGGTCCCCCCGAGCTTCCATTTCTCCATGCTGAGCCCACCCAGGTCCCTCAGCACCTCATCTATGTTCTCTCTCCAGAAATATTACCCTCCAGACTTTGATCCAGCGAAGATCCCAAAGCTCAAACTCCCGAAGGATCGGCAATATGTGGTGCGGCTCATGGCTCCCTTCAACATGCGGTGAGAGAGGGAATTGTGGATCAGGCATGGAATCATGGGGTGGGTTGGGTGGGAAGGACCTTAAGGATCATCTCATCCCACCCCTGCCATGGGCAGGGACACCTCCCACCAGCCCAGGTTGCTCCAAGCCCTGTCCAACCTGGTCTGGAACACTCCCAGGGATGGAGCAGCCACAGCTGCTCTGGGAAATCCGTCCCAGCCCCTCAGCACCTTCACAGAGAGGAATTCCTTCCCAATATTCCACCTAATCTGCCTTTTGGCAGTGGGAAGCCATTCCCCCTTGTCCTGTCCCTCCATCCAGGAGAGGTAGATAGGATACTGGGAAGGAATTCCCTTCCAACCCAATCCATTCCATGATCCTATGACTTTGGATTTGGTTGATGAGCAGACACTACATTTCCAAAGGTAAAACCAACCATTGCCCAAACTGACATTGCCTAAAACTCCCATGTACATTTCTTTATCTATTTATTCCCTTCTTTTGGATGTATCCTGGATTTTCCTTCTCCTTTCCCAGCTGTAAGACCTGTGGGGAGTACATCTACAAGGGGAAGAAGTTCAATGCCAGGAAGGAGACTGTGCAGAATGAGGTGTACCTGGGCCTGCCCATCTTCCGCTTCTACATCAAGTGCACTCGCTGCCTGGCAGAGATTACCTTCAAGGTGGGATTTCTTCCCTCTTTTCTGGGCTCTCACTTCCTAGGGAGGCCTGGGGACTTCCTCAGGAGGGGCAGTGCAGAGCCAGGCCCTGAGCTCTGTTCTCTGGGACCTGTGACAGGAGCTGAGGGAACAGGGAGCTGTGTCAGGGAAGGGTTAGATTGGATATCAGGAGAAGGTTCTTCCCCCAGAGGTGTTTGGGCACTGAACAGCTCCCCAGGGCAGTGGTCACAGCCCCAAGGCTGACAGAGCTCCAGTAGTGTTTGCCCAGTGCTCTCAGGCACAGGGTGCATTGTTGGGGTGTCTGTGCAGGGCCAGGAGTTGGATTTGATCCTTGTGTGTCCCTCCCAGCTCAGGACATTCCATGACTCCCCTGACTCCATGGGGAAGGGCTTTCCCAGCAAGACTCAGTCTGAGTGAGGTGTTTTGGTATATCATCCCTTACCATGACAGTTTGCAGTCCTGAAGTGTCTCACCCACCCCTGGGTCAGCTGCAGCAGCCAATTTTCTTCAGGAAACTGAGGAATATGTGGCTCTGGAGCAGAATTCCCTCAGTACAATGACTTTGCTGTCCTGTTCCTCAGACAGATCCCGAGAACACAGACTACACCATGGAACACGGAGCCACTCGCAACTTCCAGGCTGAGAAGCTCCTGGAGGAAGAAGAGAAGAGGATGCAGAAGGAGAGGGAAGAGGAAGAGCTCAACAATCCCATGAAGGTATGAGAACTGAAGGAAAACCTCTCCTGCTCTGCCTGACTTTCCTCACCCACATGGGAGACTTTGTAGCCATTTTTAGACCTTCAGGTTTTCCTGTCCTACCCAAAAATGAGGATGAGGATGATCCTCTTGGTGTTTCCTGCCCCATCCTGGCTGAGGAGCTGTTGGTTGCTCTCAGGCTCTGCTGCCTCACATAATCCAACCTATCTCCTGTCACTCAGGTCCTGGAGAACCGAACCAAGGACTCCAAGCTGGAGATGGAGGTTCTGGAGAACCTGCAGGAGCTGAAGGAGCTCAACCAGCGCCAGGCAAACGTGGATTTTGAGGCCATGCTGAAGCAGTACAAGGAATATGAGGAGGAGCAGAAGCGAAAGGAGCAAGAGGAGGATGAGCAGGAAATGAAGTGAGTGGATTGGAAGCACTTGGAGTGAGCTCAGCATTGTCCAAATGCTGCCTGATAGCTTGAAGAAGAGAAGCTCCTGGGGAGACCTTAGAGCCTCAGGGCCTAAAGGGGCTCCAAGAGAGCTGCAGAGGGATTTGGGACCAGGGATGGAGGGACAGGACACAGGGAATGGCTTCCCACTGCCAGAGGGCAGGGCTGGATGGGATATTGGGAAGGCATTCCTCTCTGGGAGGGTGGTGAGGCACTGGAATGGAT